GTGTGCTTGCGGGGAGGAAAGGGTGTGTGTTTGACGGGGGGGGGAAAAGTTTTGTGTTGAGGGGGGAAGGTGTGTTTGACGGGGGGGAGGTGTTGCTTGACGGGGGGGGAAAAATGTGTGCTTGAGGGGGGGAGGAAGGGTGTGCTTGACGGGGGGGGAAGGTGTGGCTTGGGGGGGAGGAAGGTGTGGCTTGAGGGGGGGAAAAAGGTTTTGGGTTGCTTGACGGGGGGGGGGAAGGTGTTGCTTGACGGGGGGGGGAAAGGTGTGTGCTTGAGGGGAAGGAAGGTGTGTGCTTGAGGGGGAAAGGAAGGTGTGTGTTGACGGGAAAGGGGAAGGTGTGTGCTTGAGGGGGGAGGAAAGGTTTGTGTGTTTACGGGGGGGGGAAGGTTTGTGCTTGCGGGGGGGGAAAAGGTGTTGCTTGACGGGGGGGAGGAAGGTTGTGTTTGACGGGGGAAAGGTGTGTGCTTGAGGGGGGGGAAGGTTTTGTGCTTGACGGGGGGGAAGGTGTGTGCTGAGGGGGGGGGAAAGGTGTTGTTGCGGGGGGAGGAAGGTTGTTTTTGGAGGGGAGAAGGTGTTTGGGGTTTGGGGGAGGAAAGGGTTTTTGCTTACGGGGAGGGGTTTGTGGGTTACGGGGGGGAATGGGGTTTTTTTTAGGGGGGGAAAAAATTTTTTTACGGGGGGAAATTTCTTAAGGGTTTAAAAAGGTTTTCTTGACGGGGGAGGGAAGTTGTGTTGACGGGGGGAGGAAAAAATTTTTGGGGGTTGACGGGGGGGAAGTGTGTGCTTGCCCGGGTTGGAAAAGGGTTGGCCTGAGGGGTGGAAGGTTGCTTACAGGAATTTTTTTTCCTTGACGGGGGGAGGAAGGGGTGTGTTGGACGGGGGAAAAAGGTTTTGGGTTGGAGGGGGGGGAAAAAATTTGCTTGCGGTGGAAAAGGAAAGGTTTGCTTACGGGGGAGAAGGTGTCTTAGGGGGAGGGGGTTGTCTTAGGGGGGAAGAAATGGTCTAAAGGGGAAAAGGTGTGGGCGAAAGGGGGGGGAGGAAGGTGTTTGCTTTGACGGGGAAAATTGTTCTTGACGGGGAGGGGGTTTCTTAGGTAAAGGTTTCTTTAGGGTAAAGGGGGGTTTTTTATGGGGGGAATTTTTTTACAAAATTTCTTGAAAAAAGGGGTTTGACGGGGGGAGGGGTGTGTGCTTGACGGGGAAAGGAAGGGTTGCGACGGGGGGAGGAAAGGTGTGTGCTTGACGGGGGGAGGAAGGTGTGTGCTTACGGGGAGGAAGGGTGTGCTTGACGGGGGAAGGAAGGTGTGTGTTTGACGGGGGGGAAAGGAAGGTGTGTGCTTGACGGGGGAGGAAGGTGTGTGCTTGCGGGGGGAGGGGTGGTGCTTGAGGGGGAGGAAGGTGTGTGCTTGACGGGGAAGGAAGGTGTGTCTTAAAGGGGGGTGGAAGGTGTGGCTTGGGGGAGGGGTGTGTGCTTGACGGGGGGAAAGGTGGGTTTGGGGGGGGAAAAGGGGTTGCTTGACGGGGAGGAAGGTGGTGCTTGGGGGGGGAAAGGGTGTGTTTGACGGGGGGGGGAAGGTGTGTGCTTGACGGGGGGGGAAGGTGTTGCTTAGGGGGGGGAAGGTGTGTGCTTGACGGGGGGAGGAAAGGTGTGTGTAAAGGGGGGGGGGGGGGGAGGTGTGTGCTTGACGGGGAGGAGGTGTGTGCTTGACGGGGGGGGGGTTTGTTGCTTGACGGGGGGGGGAGGTGTTGTTGCGGGGGGGGGGAAAGGGTTGTGTGCTTGAGGGGGGGGAAGGGGGGGTTGTGCTTACGGGGGGGGGGAAGGTTTTGGTTTGACGGGGGGGAGGAAGGTGGTGCTTAGGGGGGGAGGAAGGGTGTGTGTTTGACGGGGGGAGGAAGGTGTGTGTTTGACGGGGGGGAGGAGGTGTGTGTTTGACGGGGGGAGGAAGGTGTTTTGGGGGGGTGTTGCTTGACGGGGGAGGAAGGTTGTGTTTTGAGGGGGGGGAGGAAGGTGGGGCTTGACGGGGGGGGAAAAGTGTGGTTGCGGGGGGGGGGGAAGGTGTGTGCTTGACGGGGGAGGAAGGTGTGTGCTTGACGGGGAGGAAGGTGTGTGCTTGACGGGGGGGAAGGTTTTTGTGCTTGACGGGGGGAGGAAAGGGGTGTTGGGGCTTGACGGGGGAGGAAGGTGTGTGCTTGACGGGGGAGGAAGGTGTGTGCTTGACGGGGGGAGGAAGGTGTGTGCTTGACGGGGAGGGAAGGTGTGTGCTTGACGGGGGAGGAGGTGTGTGCTTGCGGGGGAGGAAGGTGTGTGCTTGACGGGGGAAAGGAAGGTGTTGTGCTTGACGGGGGGAGGAAAGGGTTTGTGTGCTTGACGGGGGGAGGAAGGTGTGTGCTTGACGGGGGGGGGAAAAGGTGTGTGCTTGAGGGGGAGGAAGGTGTGTGCTTGACGGGGGAGGAAGGTGTGTGCTTGACGGGGGGAGGAAGGTGTGTGCTTGACGGGGGGGGATGGTGTGTGCTTGCGGGGGAAAGGAAGGTGGTGTCTTGACGGGGGAGGAAGGGTGTGCTTGACGGGGGAGGAAGGTGTGTGCTTGAGGGTGGGAGGAAGGTGTGTGCTTGACGGGGGAGGAAGGTGTGTGCTTGACGGGGGAGGAGGTGTGTGCTTGACGGGGGGAGGAAGGTGTGTGCTGACGGGGGGAGGAAGGTGTGTGTTTGACGGGGGAGGAAAGGGTGTGTGCTTGACGGTGGGGAAGGTGTGTGTTTTGCGGGGGAGGAAGGTGTGTGCTTGACGGGGGAGGAAGGTGTGTGCTTGACGGGGAGAAGGTGTGTGCTTAGGTGGGGGGAAGTGTGTGCTTGACGGTGGGAGGAAGGTGTGTGCTTGACGGGGGAAGGGTGTGTTGACGGTGGGAGGAGTGTGTGCTTGACGGGGGGAGGAAAGGTCGGGGAATGTGTGCTTGACGGTGGGGGGAAAAGGTTTGTGCTTGACGGGGGGAGGAAGGTGTGTGCTTGACGGGGAGGAAGGTGTGTGCTTGACGGGGGGAGGAAGGTGTGTGCTTGACGGTGGGAGGAAGGTGTGTGCTTGACGGGGGGAGGAAGGTGTGTGCTTGACGGGGGGAGGAAGGTGTGTGCTTGACGGGGGGAGGAAGGTGTGTGCTTGACGGGGGAGGAAGGTGTGTGCTTGAGGTGGGGAATGTGTGCTTGACGGGGGGGAAGTGTGTGTGCTTGACGGGGGAGGAAGGTGTGTGTAGGGGGGGGAGGTTTGTGTGTTTGCGGTGGGAGGAAGGTGTGTGTTGACGGGGGAGGAAGGTGTGTGCTTGACGGGGGGAGGAAGGTGTGTGCTTGACGGTGGAGGAAGGGTGTGTGCTTGGCGGGGGAGGAAGGTGTGTGCTTGACGGGGGGAGGAAGGTGTGTGCTTGACGGGGGGAGGAAGGTGTGTGCTTGACGGGGGGAGGAAGGTGTGTGCTTGACGGGGAGGAAGGGTGTGCTTGACGGGGGGAAAGGTGGGGGCTTGCGGGGGGAGGAAGGTTGTGTGCTTGACGGGGGGGAAGGTGTGTGCTTGACGGGGGAGGAAGGTGTGTGCTTGACGGGGGAGGAAGGTGTGTGCTTGACGGGGGAGGAAGGGTGTGTGCTTGAGGGGGGGAGGAAGGTGTGTGCTTGACGGGGGGGGGAAGGTGTGTGCTTGACGGGGGAGAAGGTGTGTGCTTGACGGGGGAGGAAGGTGTGTGCTTGACGGGGGGGGGAAAAGGGATGTGTGCTTGACGGGGGAGGAAGGTGTGTGCTTGACGGGGGAGGAAGGTGTGTGCTTGACGGGGGGAGGAAGTGTGTGCTTGAGGGGGAAGGAAGGTGTGTGCTTGACGGGGGGAGGAAGGTTTTGTGCTTGACGGGGGAGGAAGGTGTGTGCTTGACGGGGGGAGGAAGGTGTGTGCTTGACGGGGGAGGAAGGTTTTGTGCTTGACGGGGGAGGAGGTGTGTGCTTGACGGGGGAGGAAGGTTGTGTGCTTGACGGGGGGGGGGAAGGGAAGGTGTGTGCTTGACGGGGGGAAAGGAAGGTGTGTGCTTGACGGGGGGTAGGAGGGGTGTTGCTTGACGGGGAGGATGGTGTGTGCTTGACGGGGGTTTGGGAAGGAATGTGTGCTTGAGGGGGGGAGGAGGTGTGTGCTTGACGGGGGAGGAAGGTGTGTGCTTGACGAGGGGAGGAAGGTGTGTGCTTGAGGGGGGAGGAAGGTGTGTGCGAGGGGGGGGAGGAAGGTGTGTGCTTGACGGGGAAATGAGGAAGGTGTGTGCTTGACGGGGGGAGGAAGGTGGGGTGCTTGACGGGGGGGGGGAGGTGTGTGCTTGACGGGGGAGGAAGGTGTGTGCTTGACGGGGGGGGAAGGGTTTTGTGTGCTTGACGGAGGGAGGAAAGGTGTGTGCTTGACGGGGGGGGAAAGGTGTGTGCTTGACGGGGGGAGGAAGGTGTGTGCTTGACGGGGGAGGAAGGTGTGTGCTTGACGGGGGAGGAAGGTGTGTGCTTGACGGGGAGGAAGGTGTGTGCTTGACGGGGGAGGAAGGTGTGTGCTTGGGGGGGGGGAAAGGAAGGTGTGTGCTTGACGGGGGGAGGAGGTGTGTGCTTGAGGGGTGGGGAGGAAGGTGTGTGCTTGACGGGGGGGGGGAAGGTGTGTGCTTGACTGGGGAAGGAAGGTGTGTGTTTGGGACGGGGAGGAGTGGGAGGGAGGAAGGTGTGTGCTTAAAGGGGGGAGGAAGGGTGTGTGCTTGACGGGGAGGAAGGTGTGTGCTTAAAGGGGGGGGAAAGGGTTTGTGTGCTTGACGGGGGGGGAAAGGTGTGTGCTTGACGGGGAGGAAGGTGTGTGCTTGACGGTGGAGGAAGGTGTGTGCTTGACGGGGAGGAAGGTGTGTGCTTGACGGGGGAGGGAGGTGTGTGCTTGACGGGGGGGTGTGTGGTGACGGGGAGGAGGTGTGTGCTTGACGGGAGAAGGTGTGTGCTGAGGGGGAGGTGTGTGCTGCGGGAGGAAGTGTGTGTGCGGGGAGAAGGTGGTGTTGGGGAGGAAATGTGTGCTTGCGGGAGGAAGGTGTGTGCTTGAGGGGAGAAGGTGTGTGTTGACGGGGGGAGGAGGTGTGTGTTGACGGGGAGGAAGGTGTGGCTTGGGGGGAGGAGGTGGCTGACGGGGGAGGAAGGTGTGGTTGAGGGGAGAAGGTGTTGTTGACGGGGAGGAAGGTGTGTGCTTGACGGGGAGGAAGGTGGTGTTGACGGGGGAGGTGTGTGCTTCGGGGGAGGAGGTGTGTGTTGACGGGGGGGAAGGTGGGCTTGACGGGGGGAGGAAGGTGGGGGGTGTGTTGACGGGGGAAAGGTGGTGCTGACGGGGGAGGAAGGGTGTGCTGACGGGGGAGGAAGGTGTGGCTTGACGGGGGGAAGGTGTGTCTTGACGGGGGAGGAGTGTGTGCTTGGGGGGAGGAAGGTGTGTGCTGACGGGGAAGGAAGTTGTGCTGCGGGGGAGAAGGTGTTGCTTGAGGGGGGGGGGGGGGGGAGGAGGTGTGTGTTGAGGGGGGGAGGAGGTGTGTGCTGACGGGGGAAGTGTGTGCTTACGGGGGGGAAGGTGTGGCTGACGGGGGGGAGGAAGGGGTGTGACGGGGAGAAGTGTGTGCTTGAGGGGAGGAAGTGTTGCTTGACGGGGGGGAGGTGTGTGCTTGACGGGGGGGAAGGTGTGCTTGCGGGGGGGAAGTGTGTGCTGACGGGGAGGAAGTGTGTGCTTGACGGGGGGGAGTGTGTGCTTGGGGGGGAAGGTGTGTGCTTCGGGGGGGGGAGATGGTGTGTGCTTGACGGGGGGAGGAAGGGTTGCTTACGGGGAGGAGGTGTGTGCTTGAGGGGGGGGGAGGTGTGTTTGAGGGGGAGGAAGGGTGTGTTTGACGGGGGGAAAAGGGTGGTTGAGGGGGGAGGAAGGTGTGTCTTGACGGGGGGAGGAAGGTGGTGTTGACGGGGGGAGGAAAGGGTTTTGGTTGAGGGGGGAGGAAGGTGTGTGCTTAAAGGGGGAGGAAGGGTGTCTTGAGGGGGGGGGAAGGGTGTGTTGACGGGGGGGGGAGGGAAATGTGTGCTTGACGGGGGAGGAAGGTGTGTGCTTGAGGGGGGGGAAAGGGGGGGGGGGGGGAAGGTGTGGAAAGGGGGGGGGGGGGGGGGAAGGTGTGTGCTTGGGGGGGGAAAAGGGGTGTGTGCTTGACGGGGGGGGGAAAGGGGTGTGTGCTTGCGGGGGAGGAAGGGTGTGCTTGAGGGGGGAGGAAGGGGGGGCTTGACGGGGGAGGGGTGTGGGCTTGCGGGGGGGGAGGTGTGTGCTTGACGGGGGGAGGGGGGGAAAAGGTGTGTGTTGGGACGGGGGGGAAGGTGGGGTTTTGAGGGGGAAGGAAAGGTTTTGTGCTTGAGGGGGGAGGAAGGTGTGTGCTGAGGGGGGAGGAAGGTGGTGCTTGGGGGGGGAAGGGGTGTTTGACGGGGGGGAAAGGTTGTGCTTGACGGTGGGGGGGGTGTGCTTGGGGGGGGAAAGGGTGTGCTTGACGGGGGGGGGGTGTGTGTTGGGGGGGGAAGGGTGTGCTTGAGGGGGGGAGGAAGGTGGTGCTTGCGGGGGAAAAGGTTTGGGGCTTGCGGGGGGGGAAAGGTGTGGCAAAGGGGGAGAAGGTGTGTGTTTGACGGGGGGAGGAAGGTGGTGCTTGAGGGGGGAGGAAGGGTTGTGCTTGACGGGGGGGGAAAGGTGTGTGTTGACGGGGGGAGGAAGGTGTGTGCTTGAGGGGGGGGAGGAAGGTGTGTGCTTGGGGGGGGGAGGAAGGTGTGGTTTGAGGGGGGGAAGGAAGGGTGGCTTGAGGGGGGGGAAGGTGTGTGTTTGACGGGGGGAGGAAGGTGTGTGCTTGACGGGGGAAAGGAAGGGGGTTGTTGAGGGGGGGGGAAAGGTTTTTGTGTTTGAGGGGGGGAGGAAGGTGTTGTTTGGGGGGGGGGAAAGGTGTGTGTTGACGGGGGGAGGAAGGTGTGTGTTGAGGGGGGGAAGGAAGGTGTGTGCTTGAGGGGGAGGAAGGTGTGTGCTTGGGGGGGGAGGAAGGTGTTGTTGACGGGGGGAGGAGGTGTGTGCTTGCGGGGGGGGAAGGTGTGTGTTTGCGGGGGGGGAAGGTGTGTGTTTGGGGGGGGGAAGGTGTGTGCTTAGGGGGGAGGAAGTGTGTGCTTGAGGGGGGAGGAGGTGTGTGTTGACGGGGGGGAAAAGGTGTGTGTTGACGGGGGGGAAAGGGTTTGTGTGCTTGAGGGGGGAGGAAAGGTGTGTGTTGAGGGGGGGGGAAAGGGTGTGTTTAGGGTGGGGAGGAAGGTGTGTGTTTGAGGGGGGGGGAAAGGGTGTGCTTGCGGGGAGGAAGGTGTGTGTTTGAGGGGGGGAAAGGTTGGTTTTGGGGGGGAGGAAGGGTTTTTGGGCTTGCGGGGGGGAAGGTGTGTGTTTGGGGGGGGGGAAAAAGGTTTTTGCCTGACGGGGGGAGGAAGGGTTGTTTTGAGGGGGGGAGGAAGGTGTTGTGTTGACGGGGGAAGGAGGTGTGTGCTTGAGGGGGGGGAATTTTGGTGTCTTGACGGGGGGAGGAAGGTGTGTGCTTGACTTGGGGGGGAAGGTTGTGGTTGACGGGGGAAGGTGTGTGCTTGCGGGGGGGAAATTGGTGCTTGAGGGGGGGGGAAGGTGGGGCTGACGGGGGAGGGGTTTTACAAAAAGGTTTGCTTGGGGGGGAAATTGTTTTTAGGGGAGGAAGGTTGTGCTTGACGGGGGGAGTGGTGTGTGCTTGACGTGAGGGGGTTTGTGTGCTTGACGGGGGGAGGAAGGGTTTGTGTGCTTGAAGGGGAGGAAGGTGTGTGCTTGAGGGGGGAGGAAGGTGTGTGTTAAACGGTGGAGGAAAGGTGTGTGCTTGACGGGGGGAAGGAAAGGTGTGTGCTGACGGAGGAGGAAGGTGTGTGCTTGAAGGGGAGGAAGGTGTTTTGACGGGGAGATTTTGTGTGCTTGACGGTGGAGGAAGGTGTGTGCTTGAACGGGGGAGTTTTGACAGGGGGGGTTGTGCTTGAGGGTAGAAGGTGTGTGCTTGCGGGGGGGGGAAGTGTGTGCTTACGGGGGGGGAAAGGTTGTGCTTGACGGGGGAAGAAGGTGTGGCTTGAACGGTGGGGAAGGTGTGTCTCTTGACGGGGGGAGGATGTTGTGCTTGAAGGGGAGGAAAGGGTGGCTTGACGGGGGGGAAAGGTGTGTGCTTGACTTTGGAAAGGAAGGTGGTCTTGACGGGGGGAAGGAAGTGTGTGCTTGACGGGGAGGAAGGTGTGTGCTTGACGGGGGGAAAGAAGGTGTGTGTTGACGGGGAAGGAGGTGTGTCTGACGGTGAAAGAGGGTGTGCTTGAAGGGGGAAGGAAGGTGTTGCTGAGGGGGAGGAAGGTGTGTGTTTGACGGGGAGAAGGTGTTTTGCTTACGGGGAGGAAGGTGTGTGCTTGACGGTGGGAGGAAGGTGTGGCTGGACGGGGAGGAGGTGTGTGCTGAGTGGGGAGGAAGTGTTGTGTTGCCCGGGGGAGGAAGGTGTGTGCTTGACGGGGGGGGGAAAGGTGTGTGCTGACGGGGGGGGAAAGGTGTGTGCTTGACGGGGGAAGAAGGTGGTGTTTGAGGGGGGAAGGGTTTTGTGTTTGAGGGGAGGAATGTGTGCTTGACGGGGGGAGAAGGTGTGTGCTTGACGGGGGAGGTAAGGTGTTTTGCTTACGGGGAGGAAGTGTGTGCTTGAGGGGGAGGAAGGGTGTGCTGAGGTGGGGGGAAAGGTGTGGATTGACGGTGGAGGAAGGTGTGTGCTTGACGGGGGAGAAGGTGTGTGCTTGGAGGGAAAGGAAGGTTGTGCTTGACGGGGGGGGAAGGTGTGCTGTACGGTGGGGAATGTGTGCTTGACGGGGAGGAAGGGTGTGTTTTGAAGGGGGAGAAGTGTGTGCTTGACGGTGGAGAAGTGTTGCTTGACGGGGGGAAGGTGTGTTGCTTAACGGGGGGAGGAAGGTGTGTGCTTGACGGGGGGAGGAAGGTTGTGCTTGACGGGGGGAGGAAGGTGTGTGCTTGACGGGGGAGGAAGGTGTGTGCTTGAAGGGGGAGGAAGGTGTGGGCTTGACGGGGGAGGAAGGTGTGTGCTTGCGGGGGAGGAAGGTGTGTGCTTGACGGGGGGAGGAAGGTAGTGTGCTTGACGGGGGAGGAAGGTGTGTGCTTGACGGGGGGGAAGGTGTGTGCTTGACGGGGAGGAAGGTGTGTGTTTGACGGTGGAAGGAAGGTGTGTGCCTTGACGGGGGAGGAAGGTGTGTGCTTGAGGGGGAGGAAGGTGTGTGCTTGACGGGGAGGGGGGGGGGGAAAAGGTGTGTGCTTACGGGGGGAGGAAGGTGTGTGCTTGACGGGGGAGGAAGGTGTGTGCTTGACGGGGGGAGGAAGGTGTGTGTTGACGGGGGGAGGAAGGTGTGTGCTTGACGGGGGGGGAGGAAGGTGTGTGGCTTGGACGGGGGGGAAGGTGTGTGCTTGGGGGGAGGAAGGTGTGTGCTTGAGGGGGAAAGGAAGGTGTGTGCTTGATGGGGAGGAGGTTGTGTTGACGGGGAAAGGGAAGGTGTGTGCTTGACGGGGGAGGAAGGTGTGTGCTTGACGGGGGGGAAGGAAGGTGTGTGCTTGGACGGGGGAGGAAGGTTTTGTGCTTGACGGGGGGAGGAAGGTGGTGTGCTTGACGGGGAGGAAGGTGGGGTGTTTGACGGGGAGGAAGGTGTGTGCTTGAGGGGGGAAGGAAGGTGTGTGCTTGAGGGGGGGGGAAAGGTGTGTGTTTGACGGGGGGGGAAAAAGGTGGGGTGTTGGACGGGGAAGGAAGGTGTGTGCTTGACGGTGGAAGGAAGGTGTGTGCTTGACGGGGGAAGGAAGGTGTGTGCTTGACGGGGGAGGAAGGTGTGTGCTTGACGGGGGAGGAAGGGTGTGTGCTTGAGGGGGGGAGGAAGGTGTGTGCTTGACGGGGAGGGGAAGGTGTGTGCTTGACGGGGGAGGAGGTGTGTGCTTGACGGGGGGAGGAGGTGTGTGCTTGACGGGGAGGAAGGTGTGTGCTTGACGGGGGAGGAAGGGTGTGTGCTTGAGGGGGAGGAAAGGGGTGTGTGCTTGAGGGGGAAGGAAGGTGTGTGCTTGACGGGGAAGGAAGGTGTGTGCTTGACGGGGGGAGGAGGTGTGTGCTTGACGGGGAGGAAAGGTGTTGCTTGCGGGGAGGAAGGTGTGTGCTTGACGGTGGAGGAAGGTGTGTGCTTGACGGGGGGAGGAAGGTGTGTGCTTGACGGGGGGAGGAAGGTGTGTGCTTGACGGGGGGAGGAAGGTGTGTGCTTGACGGGGGAGGAAGGTGTGTGCTTGACGGGGGGAGGAAGGTGTGTGCTTGACGGGGGAGGAAGGTGTGTGCTTGACGGGGGAGGAAGGTGTGTGCTTGACGGGGGGAGGAAGGTGTGTGCTTGACGGGGGGAGGAAGGTGTGTGCTTGACGGGGAGGAAGGTGTGTGCTTGACGGGGGGAGGAAGGTGTGTGCTTGACGGTGGAAGGAAGGTGTGTGCTTGACGGGGGAGGAAGGTGTGTGCTTGACGGGGGAGGAAGGTGTGTGCTTGACGGGGGGAGGAAGGTGTGTGCTTGACGGGGGGAGGAAGGTGTGTGCTTGACGGGGGGAGGAAGGTGTGTGCTTGACGGGGGAGGAAGGTGTGTGCTTGACGGGGGAGGAAGGTGTGTGCTTGACGGTGGAAGGAAGGTGTGTGCTTGACGGTGGAAGGAAGGTGTGTGCTTGACGGTGGAAGGAAGGTGTGTGCTTGACGGTGGAAGGAAGGTGTGTGCTTGACGGGGGAGGAAGGTGTGTGCTTGACGGTGGGAGGAAGGTGTGTGCTTGACGGGGGGAGGAAGGTGTGTGCTTGACGGTGGAAGGAAGGTGTGTGCTTGACGGGGGAAGGAAGGTGTGTGCTTGACGGTGGAAGGAAGGTGTGTGCTTGACGGTGGAAGGAAGGTGTGTGCTTGACGGTGGAAGGAAGGTGTGTGCTTGAACGGGGGGAAGGAAGGTGTGTGCTTGACGGGGGAGGAAGGTGTGGGGCTTGAGGGGGGAGGAAGGTTTGTGCTTGACGGGGGGAGGAAGGTGTGTGCTTGACGGGGAAGGAAGGTGTGTGCTTGACGGGGGGAAGGAAGGTGTGTGTGTTGACGGGGGGAGGAAGGTGTGTGCTTGACGGGGGGAG